TCATGATCCATTCCAGTGAATTGATGAGCGTTAATCAAGCTTAAGAATGATGGTTTCATCTCCAAAGATTGGTTGGCTGGTATTGCAATGCCAGAAAAATGTCTTGGATCTTAACCTTGTTACATAGCATAGTCTCCAAGTGTCCTTCTAGGTGGATTTGGATTTTGATTTGCTCTTTCACCCTCCATGCCTTCTATAATTGGTTCTTGTAAGTTGAGTGTGGGAGAAGAGTTGGTTGATTCTCCTGTTGCTTGTTCTTGAGTTTCCCTTATTTTTCTACCACGATTCCTCCGAGCGGATTTTTCAATTTCAAGATCAAGTTCCAACTAATCTGTAGATACCAGTCCTCTTAAAAGCATAAATTAAATAGCAACTCAAATAAGAATTAACACAAGACAACAATAATAAAAAAATAATAATAAGCTGAACAAAGAATTTCCAAAGAACACTGTTCTCCGGTAGCGGTGCCATAAATACTTGTTAAATATTTGGCAAACGTACCAAAATTATCAATCATAGTATAGTATTTCGATTAAATAAAAATAAAAGTCAATCCTACGAGGAACGGTTTCATTGAAAATTCCAAATCATATGTTTACTAAGTAGATTAAAGTAAATTGGGTTTTTCATAAAGATTTGGGTTGAAAATAAATGACGAAAAACTGTAAAATGTTTTTAGAAAATATCAAATAAAAGAAATTAGGATTGATTTTATTCATTTTCCCTCTTTTGTATAATGGTTAAGTCAATTAAGAACATCAATTAACCTATCAATGTTGATGTCACCTACTTAAATCATTCACATTGATTCCTCGCACATGAAATTCATAAGAAAACCTAATAAACATCGATTCCTCATACATTTAATAGATTTCTCAGCATTAGGTTTAGGGTGTTAAGCAATTGATACATTCTTTCCATTCCTAGCAATTAACGTAACAAATGTTCTTACCATGATCTAAGGTTCAAGATATATTTTCCAATCATATCCCAAACATCAAGAGTAAACGTTCAAAGGCACAAAGGATAAGAATAACAACATCAAGAACATAGATTAATATTGCAAAATATCACCAAGATACAAAAGAGTTCAAAGGAAGTGCACTCAATCCTAAGAGAATGAAGTTAACCACTCATTATGGTCATTACAATGATCCAATGAAGAAGAATTCAAGATGAATTGAAGATTGGACGAAAACTCGATCAGTTGTCGCACATTTCTTCTTAAAACCCTAAAAACTCCCCCTTTTCTCAAAACACATCATATTTATTTATAGAAAACTTTCGCATCATTCGCTTAAGCGAGTATTAATGATTTTCGCTCAAGCGAGAATTTGCTCGCTTGAGCGACTGATTTCCAGAGAGGTTTAACATATTTTTCTCAAGCGAGCATCTATTTTGCTCAAACGACTGACTTTCAGAGAGATTTAACGTATTTTTGCTCAAGCGAGCGTCTATCTCGTTAGACGCTCAAGCGAATCTTAGGCTGAAAATTTTCTCTTTTTTTCCAATTTTTCTTCAATTAACTTGAGAATTATGATCCTTGCTTTTGTACCCAGGTACTTTGTAAAATCATCCTACATTGGGAAAAAAATATATTAGAATCATCATCATTTAAGTGATTAAATAACAATTCAAAGCATAATTATATCAACTTTTGTCACTTAACAAGTACCAAAAGTCATTTATTATTTTTGTTGCATATAATTATTTTGAGTGTTAATGTTATAAAAGAAGTGTAATTTCAAGGGTTTAATAAATCCTCTACTTCATAAGAATTGTTAGAATATCTAAAATTATTACATGTCATTGATTACACGATGAGTACAAAAATAAGAGAAAAAAATGGACAAAAGTATGCAAATATTACAAGAGTGACAAAGTATGATATCAAAAACTAGTTTATTCACAAACGTATTTCTTTATTTTTGTATTTTATGAAATTATAATAGTAGGTTTTGTATTTTTTTCTTTATATAATCTATAGGACGTTGTAGTAAGGGATTCAACATTTGTAAACATTTTCATTAATAAAACTATTAAGTTAGACAAATATTTATATATCTTCTTTATCTTAGAGATATAATGTATTTTTATAAGTTATAAACAATGTTTAAACAATACTTATTTGTAAAAACCTTTCAAGTATTTAATTTCAAAGAAAATTAGATATAATTTCGTTTGAGTGAAATAATATAAATAAGTGTTTTTCTCATCTTGCTATTACACATATTTTTTCATTTTTGATAAACTATTCTTCACATCCTTGTTAAATATAAGACAAATTTCATATATATCATCTATTCTATCAGTAAAGTATAACATCTTTTAAATTTTATTCAATTTCTTTTTAGAATTTACTTATTATTTAAGTTAAATAAATGTTTAACATATAGTATTTTTAAGTATCATGTTTAAATAAGGATGGAGACTTTTGTAATTAAAAGAAATACGGTGTTTGAATAAAACAAAATTTGAATTTTTTATAGGTAAGATAAAAAATAGTTTAAATAGAAAATTCTTATTTTTTTTTAATTCAAGCACATCATTGTGTTACTAGTAGATGAGGGAAACATTTTCATTTGATCAAAATCTTAAATAGAGTAAGTTTTTCTTTGACTAATTTTAAAATATTTCTACAAATTTGGACAATGGTTTGTATGTAGATTTATGATTCTTGCATGTGATCTTTGTGGGGATAAATATGAAGCTTGACTTATGAATATTGTGATAGGCTTGATTTATTAATTGAGGTTTTCTGTGAGCAGAATATGGCTTCTTATGAAACTAGGGATTTGAAGCTTTTAAGTTTGAGGACATTGGAATTAAAAGGTAAGAAAAGTTAGTTATTCTTCAATTTTCATAATACTCCAAGTTATAAAATTTAGATTGTGAAGGTGACTTGATCACATCGTTTAATTTGAAGGAATTCAATTATTAGTGTTGTATATTAAATTATGATTATTATATTTGGACTAAGTATGTCATGTTTTAAAAGGAAATTGAATAATAAAATCTTAAAGGATAATATTTGATGTCTAGAAAATAGAATTGTCAAAATGGACACCTTAACCCAACCTGGCTTAACCCTCTCAGCCTAACCTATATTTTTAAATGGGCTACAACTTTTTTATTGTTTGACCTTATATTAAGTTTATGGGCTAACAGGTCAATTTTGGCATGATTAAAAAAAATTATTAACATATCTATATAAAATAATTAATTAAAAAATGTTTAAATAAAAATTTAAAATATATTTTAAAATTTAAAAAATAATAAAAAATAGTTTTTAACTCCAAATTTAACCTTCTATATATGCAAATTGAAGCCTTCAAAATAAAGAATCGAATGAAACAAAAATTAACTAAAAAGGATATATGTAGAAAAAAGTTATGACCAAAAGAATAAATAAAGATCAAATCTCAAAGATTTATTTTTGTCGTGAATGATATGTATATGATTTAGGATGTTAAATATATGTTATGAACTTGAAATAATTTATGTTGGGTATTATTATATGCATAGAAAATATATTATTATAGTGTGAGAAATATTATATGATACCCTTATATGTATGTTTTATTTGTGATGTATTGATAAAGTTAACATAATGATTTTCGAAGAGGAAATACTATATTGAGATATAGGTAATATATTGAATTTAAGATTTTAAAGAAGATACTCTAATTCTATTGGTATCGAACTCATATAATGGTGACAGTTGAATGAGGTCTTTATAACTTAACTTGTGATGTGAAAAAAAATGTATTTGGTAAGTAATAGGGATTTATTTTGTTACAAGATAACATATTCTAATTATGTATCTATGTTGAAGATACCCACTTAGGAAATACAGTGTGACAAATGTTGATCTCCGTATTTAAATTTAACATATTCGAGTTTTTTAGATTAAATACTTAATTTATTGTATAATTGTGGTGCTATCATGTAAACATTATGAATATTTTATAATAATTATATGAATAAAAAAAATTATCATTAGTTTATTGTATTTGTGTGGTGTGTTGTCCTGAAGTGTAATAAACTGTTAATACAAATTAACATATAATGTTTCAGATAATTAGTCTTAGTTGTTAAAAAAATAAAAGAAATTTTCTATTTTGATTATTTTGTTTAAAAATATATATAAAATACCTAATATAATAAAATATAATGTGATAGTACTTTAATATTTATACAGGAAATATAAATAACTAAATGTATGTATATCTTTAAGTAATTTAATCTTATATTTGTTGTGGGATGTTAAGTTAAAAAACCTTATCATGAAACAAAAAATGTATATAATAAAAAGATGAAAAAAAAATGTAGCAAAAATATGAAAAAGGGAATATAATAAAGACAAACTAAAAAATGTTTATATAGAGACGTAATATAAATTTACGTTAGTAAAGATCACTAATAAAAGCAGGAGCTAGGCAGAGAACCAAGGATCCGATTAACATGCTCATGCAACTTTTAAGACGCAATCAAAGTGAAAAGGAAAAGAAAAAGTCTTGGGATGTTAATTTAGAAAAAATATTTTTTGAACCAAACTATAAACAATATTTTTTGAAGAAGAAAAAATAGCAATGTAAATAAAATATAAATAAAATAGCTATGTTTTTTCTTTGGATATTGGATTAGATTGCAGCATTGTAATTATCAAAACTTGGGCAAAGACAAAAAGGAAAAAAAAAAGTTAATAAATAAGGGCACAAGGCAAAACCAATTGAAGAAGTATACTAAAACCTAATTTACTCCGAACCACAACCAAATGAAGAAGCAAAATAAAACCTAATTTATTCCGAACCACAAGTTTCAAATCAAGTGAGGGTTGTAAAAGTATATAGCATTGTTGACATGGCATGAAGCCATTGGGAAACCATCAAATAACATTCCCACCACCTCATCCACACAACACAACACTCCACTCCTTTTCTCTCTTTCTTATTCTTTCCAGTCCCGCACTCAACTCAGATCTCTGCTTCAATTCCACCATGGCCACACTCTTCGACTCCATCGCCGTCGTTCGCCTCCCTTCTTCCGCTTTCTCCCCCGTCGCCGCCCGCCGCGCCTCCGTCAAGCTTCCGCTCTGCGTCGGCCTCAGACTTCGACCCGCCGCACGCTTCGTCGCAGCCTCCGCTCCCAGAATCGCCCCACGCGCCGCGCGCCTTGTGTGCGAGGCTCAGGATACCGCCCTCGATGGTTAGCTTTTTTTTTTTTTTTTCGTTTGCTTCAATATTTCTTTTTACTTTTGAAATCGCAATTTTAAAAATTAAATATATGGTTTTTAACAACGAACTGGTGCATGTTATTTTTTAAGAGTGAGAATGAAATGAATTGTTCTATTTCCAGAGAGTGGCTCATGTTTTCGCTGTAATAAAATTAATAAAATAAAAAATGTGGGATTTTGTTGCTTAATTGTCGGATTTGTGATGCCGAAAATAACAATTATTTTTTCATAAGTTAAAATCGGTATTTTATTTATAAGATAAGTTTGTTTAATTGTAATTTAAAATTAATCTTTTAAACAATTCAGAAACTTTTATAAATGAATGCATATGAAAGATAATTTTAGATTTTAAATTTTTTCTTTGTCGTTGTTGGGTGAAGTAACATGCTAGGATCCATAGTTTTTCATGTATAACAAAACTTAGGTGCAGTATCCTAAATGTGGTAGGTATTATTTTCGAATTAAAATTAATCGATGCTGAACTTTTATACCAACTTTTCACCCAAGTTTTGATTATCTAAATTTGGGCTTCTGGGAATTCCCTTTGCATTGATTGAATATACCTAATAAGGAGGTCTTGTCTTTTATCTAGGTATAATTTTGTCTTAATCATCATAAGGATAGATTAAACTCTGTATATGGTTTCATAGCTAGTTTCAAGCCCAGGTCAAGGAAGAGTGTTGTATTAGACCCTTGTTAACCAACCTAAAACTTGTCAATTCCCAAACATGGATCACATGGCAGCTTAATCAACAAGCATAAGCCTGGATCGTTTTGTTTCTATCTGTGATTTCTATTGGCCTGTTTGTGTGTTTTTTTTTTATCTGGTTTGCATGATCTCCATTTCAGCACAACATCACTGCAATGCAATCAAATTCTTGTGGGTGCAAATTACCTCTTTCTGCTCACTTCCGGAGAGATTTTTGCATATTTGTGAAAAATAGCAATTGAAAGTTTTGGTTGGTTGAGAGAAATACTAATTGGTTGTGCTATTGTAAATTACAGTGGCTCCTATTACTGATGCAAATTGGCAATCCCTTGTCCTTGAATCTGATTCTGCTGTTCTGGTTGAATTTTGGGCTCCATGGTGTGGCCCCTGCCGAATGATTCACCCTATAATTGATGAGCTTGCAAAGCAATATGCTGGGAAGCTCAAATGCTACAAACTCAACACTGATGAGAGCCCTTCAACTGCAACTCGGTATGGAATTCGAAGCATCCCCACTGTTATGATCTTCAAGAATGGTGAGAAGAAAGATACAGTCATTGGAGCTGTGCCCAAGTCAACATTGACCACAAGCATAGAAAAATTCGTTTGAGGTTGTGGTAATCACAGAAGGCCAATGATAAAAGTAAAGCTGTTTTTCCTATAAGCTCCTTCACTTCCAAGCCTCATGTCTCAAGCTTCCATAATTTGTTTACTCAAATACTCATTTACCCTCCTGTACAATTATCGGATGCAACCTTGACTTCTGTTTTTTAGATTATTCTAGTTACCAAGTGAATTTGCCATTGAATCATGGCTCGTTTCAAATTGATCTTACATGTCTGCTGCTGTGTGTTTTCAACGTTAAATGGGCACGAGTGACGGGTGGGGTATATGTGTATAAAGAAAACTAATTAGATATTCATACCAAATTTGTCAGGTCTCATGGATATATGGATGAACAAAACTCAAATGTAGTTCATTAGGTGTTTTAGTTGGTATTCTTTAATCATAATTAGAATTTACCGTATAAAGGTTTACATTAAAATCAACTTATGTTTTTGGGTGTACTACTGTTTGGTTTGGTAAGGATCGGTGAACCAATCCCCCACCCAATCAAAAAATTTAGAGATGAGATGAGGTAGGTTTTTGTGTTTTATTTATTAAACATAATTTAATCTAACCCCTCTTTTATTACTTTAGATTGAGTTGACACCGTTTTACTTCTTTCCTACCCTCACAACTTTTTTATTACTCTCTTTTCTTTCACTCATTATTTGTTTTTTTTTTTATATATGCTCATATTTTTTATTTCAAGTTATATCATAGCAAATGAAAAACATTAATATTCATCAAAATTATTCAAAATTTATTGTCATATTTTCACAATTATTTATAACCAATTTTCAAAACAATTTCCAAAGTACTTTAATTCATTAAAAATTTATTGTAATATTTTCACAATTATTTATAACCAATTTTAAAAACAATTTCATAATTTTTTTTAATTTCTAAGATTTTGGTGTATCATGATTTATAGTTAAGCTTTGCAATAAAATTATCAAGAAAAATGTTAGATAAATTCAAAAAGTATACCGATGGACTTAATATAAGAAATAAATTTATTATATTTTATTTCTAAAATTATATATATATAAAAAAATTTCAAGGTTTTTTTTCCTTTAAAAAAAATGTATTGACCCCACTGATTTGAGTCTCCCTCTGCCTATGTTTTTAACTACGAATAATGAAAACAGATTTAAAACAGTAAAAAGCAGAAAATACAAAAAAAGTAGTACAACAGATTTAAAATACAGAAAAACAGTAATGAAAAAAATACAGATAGTAGCAAAAACAACCGTGTATATATAACTAAACACAACTGGGAGTAAGTGTTAGCTCGAGTGTTTACTTTTCCGTATAATTGTTCAAAGTGTTACTGTTTGATCCTTGTTTGTTTCCATCAAGAATCGCAATAGAAAAGTGTCTTTCTCTATTTTTACTACTCTCTTACACGCTCTGTTTCTGATATTTCGTGTTTCTGTTCGAAATTCTCATAAGTCTCGTACCTCCTATTAGCAAACTTAATAATAAATTCCATCTAAACAAATTAAGTCATAGTAGTTTTATTGCAATGAAGAAAAATAGTTTAGTTTGATCACAATGAAGAGAATAGTTTATGTAGTTTGAGTCATGATATTAAACCAAAATGCAGATAAATTGATCTATATTCTATGGCAATAACAGCTTCACATACCTCCAAGTGTTTTTTTTGGATACTTCAATTCTTTGATTGAACACATCAAAATGAAAAACACATTAGTTATAAGAATACACAAGTTCCAATACAAATTGAGTCAACACAAATGAGGGAGGGAAGACAACATAATAACTATTAGAATCCTTCTTCACCCATGCATCTTACAAACTGCTCCATCTGGCTTGTAGGTCTCCAAGAGCAGGAACAAAAACTTCCATCTAGTTACATGCATGCCATACTTAATCAAAAAATAACAAGACTGACATCATAATCACCATATATACTAAGATCTACTATCCACATGATGAAATAACCTGTAGTCAAATGTCTGTGCAATAAAATGTCTTCAAAATAAGAGAAGACACAAAACTATACAACATAGGAGAAAGATGGAAAGTCTGTTCAAAGACTTGTCAATCCGCATTTCTTGCCTTCTCATTCTAGGAGTGCCATTTCCATTATGAGGGTAAGAAAACAAGTTTGCATCTGATACCCCAAAAATTCTTGTCAAGACCATCTCCCCAAACATACCAATCATAGGATTGAAGAAACTAGTCATAGCAGCACCTCCAGCACCTCCAAGATAAGGCCATCCAGTGGTGCCATAACTTCCATAGAGGTCAGGGAAGTACTGCTGATAAGGAAATGGTCTTGACTGTGACTGGAAATGACTTGGACGCAGTTGCTGGCCTGAATGTGCCGGTGTACGAGCAGAAGTTAACATGGCATTCAAGCTGTAAGGAGGTGGCCTGTGAGGTATTCCTAGACTCATCTGGAGTTTCTTGGCTTTTGATTCTGAATTGGATGCTCCACGGCCATAGAGGGGGACTACTGATGTGTGAGAGATCTCAGATTTACAAACCGGGCATGTCTGCTGCTGGTCTGGTTCAACAGAGGAGTTTTGGACATCAAGCCACTTGTATATGCATGGCCAGCAGTAAAGGTGACCACAGAGTGTAACCACAGGGTCATGTGCTGATTCCAAGCAAATATTGCAATCAAAGCAATCATTTTCACTAGTAGAGACTGTTGGCTCTGCTGAAATGGATTTTGATTTTTGCTTTAGGGAGAGTTCCCCATTGGAGTCGAAGTATTTAGATTCCATGGTGTTTCTTCCAGAATATACAGCCTATTAAAAATTTCAAAAGTGTTAAGAAAGAAGTAATCATGTTAGACCTACCAGATCTAGACCAGTCAGATCAGAGATCCAGATGACAGTTAAAACTAAATAAAACTGCCTATTGTTAATTTACCCCTATAGCTTGCCACAAATGCTATTTAATATTAGCAGACACATTCAAATATTTGCTTTTAACCTAGAAATTTATGAAGATATTCCAATTTGAAGTAATAACTGAGGATCACAAATATATCCATTTACACAGAAAAACAGAAGGTTCCTTCAAAATTAAATCACACACAATATTGCTTAAGAAATTATCATTTCTATGCATATGATTGAAAATTATTCTGAAGTTCCATATATCCTCATACATTACAAATTAAATAACAACATTTCATCATGGTAAGCCACAAATCAAATTTATGAATTCATAGATCTTTGCCAACAACATGAAAGAGAAAGTTCCTCATTTTGGAGTAAAAAATAATCTCTTGATCAAAGAAACGCCATTTATAACAATTTTAGTGAAGAACCTGCAAGTGAGATAACCCTGTACCAACCTTAATTTCCATAGAACAATCCCAACAAAATGTTTGTTTTCCCTTAAGAAAATGAAAAAAAAAAAAACTCAACTTAGGTTATTTCACGATTATCCATGATCTATTCCCAGTTTCCCATCCCATTAAACCAAATTGAACTAAAAGTAATGCAGATTCAATCCTCAAATTCAGAGCATATTGACAAACACTACCCCAGATGAAAATCCAACACATGCAAACATCAAGACACAAAAGCAAATACCCATTTGAAAAAAATCCAATTTGAGCCCAAAATCCACAAGAAAAACTGAAATTCTCCTTATCACATATCACAACAAGGGCAGCAACTAACCAATGGATAAGAAAAAAAAAAAGCACCTTTACAGCAAAAGAAAAGTGTTAATGAAGAACGCAATGGATAAAAGGAATCAAGAGAATAAAAAAATGTAGCTTGAAAGGGACAGAAAGTGAAAATAGAAGAAAAGGGTTACGTGAGTAAGAGAGAATTGGAATGTGAGGGAAACAATGGATGAGAGTTAAATGTGGAAGCAGAAGATTGTGTTGCGGGGAAGCATGATTGGGAACGAGATAGTGCCACCTGTTTGTATATTTATTTATTTATTTACTAACTATTAATTGATGAAAATATTATAACTTTAGTTGTTTGATCAGTTGCTTGTCTATCATCTTCTTAACTATTTTTTTCACTTGTTTGCTTTCTAACAAAAATGTTATCTTATTAACTTTAACGCGTTTAAATGAGATATTTGAAAAGCACTTTTACAACTATTTCCCACGTCAAACATTGTGATTGAAAGATTATTATTACAATTTTCCCAAAATGTCGTTAATAGATTTTTTTACAAATATATCATCATTAGTTTTAAATAACAAAGAAAGTATAAGCCCTAGGTATGATATATGAACATTAAAAAAAAAAAAAAGATGATATTTATAAAATAGAAGTTATAAAATAATGGAAACCATAAAGAGAAGAAAAACAAACAGATGTTTTATGAAAAAATTATTAGCCGTAAGTTTTTAAAGGTCATCTAATAAAATAATGTGTATCATTACATTAATTGAAAAAACTGATAAAAGGAATTTATTGTAAAAAACGTTACTTTATTCTATTGTATTATTATTATTATTATTAATATTAAACAGGTTATGGAGTTGAATATCTTAGCTCAATAATGATTTTTAAGACAATTTATTTTGTTTTTTGATAATCTAAAAAATCATTTATTTGTAAACTTGTACCCAAAATTAAGAGGTTTTGAAATAGTTATAATTTTTTAAGGATAAAATAAAAAAATAGTGATATTCCAAAATTTGTTTATCACCTGAATTATTTTCTTTAGGATTGTAGCATCAATTAAAATTCGAAAATTTAATAATTCGTTCGATTTATTTTTAATCTATTTTAATTATTGTTGTAGAGAAGGATACTACAAAAATTAAAATGATATATCTAAATGAAAAGTGTTTGTATTTATAGGAACAAAATAAATAACTAAACATAATTCAAATTACTAAACACATTTTTAGAGTCATGAGAACTTTTTTTTAAAGAATATGTTCATATAATAATTACCATTTTCACAAACTTATATTGTAAACCGAGAGTAAAAACAGTTTAGATTGTATAAAGTTGAAACTTAAGTTTATATCAAATGAACTGACACAAGATATAACATCGTATTTATGTTGTTTTGTTTCTTTTCACGTTAGCAGTAAATTAATGTAATATCAGTTACGTGCATGCAATAAGAGAAGTTGATTAAGCTCACACTATTTAAACAAACACCAAGTTTGAACAATTGCATCAGAAAAAGTAAAAATCTCTAATTTGATACTGTTTTTCAAGTTTCATGGCAAGGTTTAACAATTATCTTATTTTGTTAGCTTTGGTTTTGCCCACCATAACAGCTAAAATGTCAGACACTGTGGAAGAGCCATTGTCTGAATGTGGAAAACATATCGGAGCACACTGTGGAGATGAAGTCATTGGTAGATTGAAGAGTGGAAATGAGACTGTAATTTCAACAAGTTGTTGTTATAAGCTTTTGCAAACGGGTTATCCTTGTCACACCAAGCTCACCTTGTTTATTCTTGAGAACAATGCAGAGCTTAAGAATGCAAATTGGACTGAATTTTTTGCAAAAAGTGATAAAATTTACCACAAGTGTGATGCTCTTACTGCACCAGGAAACTCTGAGTTTCTGGCTAACTGCACAGAAAGTTTAGGGCCTGATTGTGGAGAAGAGGTATATAACAAGCTAATCCTTGACAAGACCATCTCTAAGCATTGTTGTGAAAAACTCGTGAAAACGGGTGAACAATGTCATGCTGCTATGGCCAAGGCTTTGATTCGCATCCCAGAGATGAGGAATGTCAATGCCATTCAACTTCTGAAGAAGAACAGGAAAATCTTTGAGCATTGTCTCCATGTTAAATAAGAATACTTCCCACAAGATTAATAAATTCATTAATGAAATAGAAAAATAAAGGAAAGTTGAATTTTTATTTTTTTTTACATCTTGATTGCTTCTTCTTGAAATATAAACTTCATCGATCTTTATCATATGATAATGGTGTAGTAGCTCACTGTATGCACTAAATTATTTACTTATAATTTCCAAGGAGTGTTGATTTAGATACATAAAAATTTAGGATAAAATATTAAAATACAATTGTGATGGAAATGACTGAATTCACTACTAACCTTAACTAATCCAAAACCATCTCTTCACTCTTAATCAAAACCAAAACACCATTCAAATAAAAAAAATGTCTCGTTTTTTAAGTGATTACAGAAAGGCATTTTTTTTTTCTTATAAGGTCAAATTTAACATAGTAGGGTAATAAATTAAGTTTCTAAAACTTGTATAATACCTTCATCAAAATATGTTAAAAACAGGTATACTTCATCCCTAGTTTTTCTTCTCAATGAACATAACCTATGCTCTTGAAGAACCTCTCATTAATTATGTGACAAAGAAATCCTTATAGTAAACAAAAAGTATTTTTAGTAAACATTAAAAAAATTGAGATAATTCATCTACGATATTTTGAAACTTTGTTACCTTGATATGCCATTGATATCACGATGTATGATAAAATTTAACAAATTTGTTAAAATTTTTAAACTATAAAACGAATGACAATGCATATAATACAAACAAACATGAGAATAGAGGATATGTTTATACGGGTAAAATGATAAAACGATGAGTTATTGAAATTGTCGATTCAATAAACCCTCCATAATCATTTATTGATTCTCCTCCCTTAGACTTAAGGATGGCAATTAAACCCGTACCCGTGGGGACCGACCCGTCCCCGCCCCGAGTTTGACGGGGAAACCCCGAGTTGACCGGGGGCGGGGTCCGGTTCGGTTTTCCCGCTTTAAAAGTCGGGCGGGGCGGGATGGGTAATGCAATCCCCACCCCGACCCCGCCCCCATCCCCGCCCCGACTTTATATTTAAATTTAAATTTTAAAATATTAATATTTTAAAAGTATTTCATTTTCTTTTTCTATTACATATAAGGTTATTTTTTTATATTTCACCAATTTTTATTTTTCTTCTACCCACTTTTTAATTTTTTTTATCTTTCTCAATCTTTTATATCAATTAATTTATTATATTATTCTCTCCCTTATCTTTCAGCTTTTTCACATTTTCTTAGTCTCTCCCATCAATTTGTTTTTTTTTCAATCTTTTCAACCAATTTGATGAACACAAAGTTAATCTTTTTTCTTTATCTTTTTCTAAATATTTTACATCAATCTTAGTAGTAACTAATATTAGTTTATTTATAATTTATATTTATTATGCCATATTTTTTTATCTTATTATGCTTATTTATCATATATCAAATTTTATCTTAATAAAATAATTGCATTTTAAAGGATTAAAAGAAATTAATAATTTAAACTTTTATTACTTCAAACTAATTAAATAAGAATTAACTTATTAAATATTTTCTTATAAACTATATATTGACAACTTAAAAATGAATTAACTTATATGTATAATTAAATATTTGAATACGAGTATTATAATAATAATGTTATAAATATTCAAATATTTGAATACGAGTGTTATAATAATAATAATAATAATGTTATAAATATTATATATATATATATATAAATAAAAAATAATTAAATATTTCTTTTACATATATATTTTAATATAAATATAATAAATTAAAATGTATATTTAATTAATAATAACTATAAATTATAAATATTTATTTATATATAAAAATACATAGTAAAATTAATTTATTATAAATATAATTATCTTTTTAAAAATAATATAAATTGGGGACTAGGCGGGCTGGAACCCGAAACCCAGCTGGGACTGGGATGGGGACTTAATTCCTAACCCCGTGGGATCGGAGGCGGGGACGGGGATGGTTAAAAAGTCGGGGCGGGGACCGGAGAGGCAAAACCCGCCCCCTGCCTCTTAGCTAATTACTAATATATATATATATATATATATATATATATATATGTAACTTAGATATTGGTATGTCATAGTCAGTGCGGTCTACATGAGTAAAGTGGGTCAAGATAAACTCATTTGGAGGAGATGAACTTAATTGATACCTAATGGGTTTGATGCGTAGATAGTACGGGAAATAAGATATTATTGGGACCGATGCGCAAAGAGAAAAACCCTAAAGAGAAATTTGATTATAAATGGAAGGGAGAAGACCTAAAACCCTAGATCCCTTGATCCAGAACATTGGCGCCCACCGTGGGGCAGGTAAAATTTTTCCTACTCCACATTCAAAACAATCATGGTGACTCGTACCAACAATCGCAACAATCAAGACCCTAATGGGGTTGACCCAAACAACACAGCGATACAACTAATCCTTGATCAAATGGAGGAGTTGCGGCGACAAACTGAAGAAGCCCAGCGCATGGCGACAGACTGAGTTGTACTCTTTTCCTTGGAAGTTTGTTAATCTTATAGTCAGATGTTTTTTCTTTCAAGGTTTTTAATGGGGCAACAATATCAATAAAATGTTATCTTTAGACAATGTTTTTCTCTTTTGTTATTTAAAATCTCTTTAGTTATTTAAAAATATTGTTTTTTATTTGTTCTAATATGAACTATGCTCAGAATGCGAGCTATATACAGAATGCGTACTAGGGTCGGAATGTCACCTATCCTCGGAATGCGAGCTATGTACAAAATGTGCACTATGGTCGGAATGCGACCTATCCTCGGAATGCGAGCTATGTGCGAAATGCGCACTATGCTCGGAATGCGACCTATGCTCGGAATGCGACCTATGCTCGGAATGCGTGTTATGCACGCACCTATGCTCGGAATGCGTGTTATGCGCGCACCTATGCTCGGAATGCGACCTATGATCGCGCTATGCTCGGAATGCGCGCTATGCTCGGAATGCGCACTATGCTCGGAATGCGACTTATGCTCGAAATGCGAACTAAGTATTTGGGGGAAGATGAACTTGATTGATACCTAATAGGCCCAATAGTACGGGAAATAAGATATTATTGGGACTGATATATGTGCCAAAAGAAAAATTTTAAAGAGAAATTTGATTATAAAGGGAAGGGAGAAGATCTAAAATCCCATATCCCTTAATCCATAACAGATATATAATGAAATATTTTTTATTATTTTATTTTTTTTATACGGGTAACAAAATGGGTTTGTCTATACTATCCGTCTGTTTCCTGGCTCGTCAAAGATGAAGTAAGATGACGGACTCATTATAATTAAATAAACTATAGATCATGTGCGTAAAATCGTTAATATTTTTTTATATATAACTTTTTTAAAATACATCTTATTTATATAAATATTTGTTAAGTCTTTACTCATTAATTAATATTTTTTATTAAATAAATTAAGAAAAATACTATAATTAATAATTTAAATTTAATTAATTTATATTCATTTAAATATTTTAATAACATAAAAAATATATTTATTTTTAATTATAATAATTTTTTATTTTAATACATAAATATCTTTTAAAAATGAATTAACTTAACCTGATATTCTTGATATTCTTAACTTATGAGATTAATAAACTAAATAAAATGAATCAAAATATACTAATAAACTAAAATTACTAATTTGTATATTTAGCCTCTAGTCAAATGTTATTTTGTAATATTAAGATATAATATTAATTCATTGTATCACTGCATAAGAAGTTTAGTTTTGTGATGATTGTTTGTGAAAGAAATGAATACATTGTAATTTGTGATCGAAAAATACTTAATCACGACCATGCGAGGTGTATATTATGAATGAATACATCTAAATGAGGCAAAATAAGATATTTGAAAATGACTTTTACAACAAAAAATCACATATTTTTTTATAAAATATTCATTAATGGGATGAAAATTACATTATAGTCTAAATTATCTTGTATAGAATTTTTTTATCTCGGAACTATTTAATATATAAGTAACTTGTACAATAAAATATTTTATTAAATATAATTTCATATTGTGAAAATGGAACTCGAAAATAAAAGCATATGTCTAATTTTTGTTTTTATAATAATTATTTTAAAATTTATATTTATAATTAGTACTATAAAAAATCCATCTTAACATAAAAAATATAATTATTAAAGAGTAAAATATATTTTTCATAAGACTGTTTGATTTTCATATATTATTAATTTATTTATTAAGATTTTAATCATCATATCATTATAGAAAAACTTAGTTTTATGTCATGTAAATAACTATGTTCATGAATGCAGAATTAAATACTATGTAATAATGTTTGTGAAAATAATTCTTTAATACATTGCTCAAAATTCATCAATTTTTTTTTTAACTTGACTATTTTATACTTATTTATTATTAGTCATAATCTTTTAAGTAATTAACATTTTCTTCATTTAAAATCATACATCACTATACCTATTACTTAAGGATATAATCTTAATAAATTAACTTCCTTTAAGATTAAAATCTTAATAAATTAATTAATATTGTACCAAGCTTTCGAGTTCATTAAAGATTTACACGAACTAGAAAATGAAAATTTTGGTTTCAACTGATAGAGATAAGAAAATACATTAATTCGTAGGAATCTAAAAATATCTTATATTTATAATAATTTTATGTATAGTTTATACATGAGATAATTATTTTTTTAATCATAAAATAGTTGCACAAATAATTATATTAAAAGAAAATTAAAAAAAAATTAATTGTACTAAATACAAGCATTTATTATTTTCATTGTATAAAAATACAGATTTTACCCATCATTAAATTATTTTTATAAATATTTAATGTAAAAAACATTTTATTGTGTTTGTTTGTTCTTGTTATAAAATTTTTCAAAAAAAAATTAATCATAATATACTTAAGTACTTTAAATAAATGCTATAAGTAATTACATAAATAAAATAAATCCATTTATATGCAAATAATTTGTGATATACGATACCATTTCAGGGTGGGTTCTCCCTTTTGAAAAACAATTTTAATTGTATGTATATAACAATAATATATATATTTCGGCATCAATGTTTTTGTAAATGAGATTTATTTTTTAGTATCTTGTTCTTATTTAACTATATTTATTAAATAAATGTAATATCTTTTATATGTCGTCTCCACAAAATTTGATATTAATTAATTATATAATATCTTTTGAGTTAGGCTTACATTTTAATTATTTTTAAACAATGGTATTTATATAATTTGCAAAAACAAAAGAAAATATAAGAAATTAAATTTTGATTTAAAAGAATGCTTTCTTTTTCAATCATCTATAGTTTTAAATAAAAAAGAAAGCATAGATCCAGGTATATATATATATATATATATATATATATATATATATATATATATATATATATATATATATATATATATATATATATATATATATATATAAAGTAATAAAAAAATGATATTTATAACTTAAAAGTTTTCACAACCAATACGTTACAAAAGAATGAAAACGAAGAGAAGAAAAGAAAACAGATGTTTTATGAGATTAGAAATTTATATTTAAGAAAATGATAAATTTATAAATATTTATTTGCCGTAAGTTTTTAAATGACGTGTTTCATTACATTTATTGAAAAACTGTTACAAAATTTATTGTAAAAAACATATTACTTTATTTTATTGTAATATTATAATTAAACGAGTTCTGCAGTTGAATATCTTAGGTAACAATGATTTTAAGATAATTTAATTTGTTTTGATGTCTAAAAAATTATTTTATTGTCTAAAATATACTTATTGTAAAAAATTGATAAAACAAACTTTTAATTTTTAATAATACAGTCCAAACATTTGCTTATAACTTAAATTATTTTCTTTGAGATTATAATATTCGATTAAAATTTGAATATTTCATCATTCGTTCGGTTTTTTAATCTATTTTAGTTATTGTTGTAATTTGTAAAGATTAAAAGAGATACTAAAAAATATCATAAAAAAATTAAAATGATATATATAATGATTAAAATGGACTTTTTTAAAATATGGTAATTAAAAAAGTATTTATAATTAACCTTTTCATAAAACTTGTATTGAAACATGAGAATCAAAACAGTTTAGACTGTATATAGCTAAAACTTAAGTTCATACCAAAATAACTGTCTCAAGTTGAACATAATATTTATTGTTATGTTACTTTTCACATTAGAATTAAAGTTAACGTTACGCAATAAGAGAAGTTGATTAAGCTCACACTATTTAAACTAACACCAACTTTGGGCAATTGCATCAGAAAAAGTAAAAATCTCCAATTTGATACTTTTTTTTCAAGTCTCATGGCAAGGTTTAACAATTATCTTATTGTGTTAGCTTTAGTTTTGCCCAGCATAACAGCTAAAATGTCAGACATTGTGGAAGAGCCATTGTCTGAATGTGGAAAACACATTGGAGCACACTGTGGAGATGAAGTCATGGGTAGATTGAAGAGTGGAAATGAGACTGTAATTTCAACAAGTTGTTGTTATAAGCTTTTGCAAACGGGTTATCCTTGTCACACCAAGCTCACCTTGTTTATTCTTGAGAACAATGCAGAGCTTAATTGGACTGAATTTTTTGCAAAAAGTGATAAAATTTACCACAAGTGTGATGTTCTTACTGCACCAGGAAACCCTGAGTTTCTGGCTAACTGCACAGAAAGTTTAGGGTCTGATTGTGGAGAAGAGGTATATAACAAGCTAATCCTTGACAAGACCATCTCCAAACATTGTTGTGAAAAACTCGTGAAAACGGGTGAACAATGTCATGCTGCTATGGCCAAGGCTTTGATTCGCATCCCAGAGATGAGGAATGTCAATGCCCTTCAACTCCTGAAGAAGAACAAGAAAATCTTTGAGCATTGTCTCCATGTTAAATAAGAAAACTTTTCACGAGCTTAATAAATTCATTTTACATCTTCATTGCTTCATTACAAACTTCATTTCTCTTTGTGTCATGTGATTATGACGTAGTTACTCACTATATGCATGAAATTATTTACTTATAGTTTCCAAGAAATGTTGATTTAGATGCATATGGATTCATGATAAAATATTTAAACACCACTATCATGAAAATGACTAGAGTCAATAAACTTAAACTAATCCAAAACCACCACTTCACTTTAATCAAATTTGAAATACCATTCAACTAAAAATTCTCTCCCCTTTGAAGTGATTAGAAGACATACATTTTCTTTTTCCCCTTGAATTATGTTTCTAACAATTGTATAACTCATTTAAAAAATGTTAAAAACGAGTAGACTTCGTCCTTAATTTTGCTTCCCATTGAAGAATTTTCTTTAATTATGTGACAAATAAATCCTTTTAAATAAACAAGTCTTTTTGGTAAAACATAGGAAATGAGAAAGTTCATTTAAGATATTTTGAAGAATCATCTTTTGTTTCTTCTCCCTTCACCTTTAATAACCTCACTGATTGTAAAGTTATATCACAATTGATAACCCCATAATAAGTTCATCTTTGTGATGCATGTTTGTGAAGGAAATGTACACATTGTAATTTAAGACGAATGCATTAAATTTGTTATAAATTTCCGTTGAAAGTATTTTGTAACGGATTGTGTGACGCAAATTCACCGTCTCAAAAAGCCTACCAGAAAAGGCTTCAAATGATGTGTTAGTGACATATGATTGTGATGAAAAATTCCGTCACTAAAAGTTTTGTCCCGTGACTCAGAAATGATGATGAGAAGTTTGAAAAACTTTGGAGACAATGCCGAAGCTGTCTCTGTAGCGAATGCACCACAATTATAAAGGAACCATGAGAAACACACATCAAAAAGGAAAAAAAAAAGGTTTATGTCTCATATATGAAAACAATTAGCATGTAATTACATGAAATATCCACTTTTAATATAACATACTTAGTATATATTATATTTACATTAATTTTGAGTATAACTGATCTAATATACTGAAATATTTTCTAACTTACAAAAAAAATGTTAGAAATTATTTTATTAAAATATTTTTTACAAATATACTTTGCATTAACTTTGTTCTTGGCGCAAAATAAATAAACTTTGACTTTTTGTTACTAACTTTTTTCACCAATGTAGGTATAAAGAATATATTAAAATGTATGTGCTCGTATATGATTCTCATGATTCCATAAGTCATTGATGAGAAGAAAATCAACACCCCTTTTAAAATTGAGCAGTTCTTAGCACAAATGATCAACACATGACAAGAGTTGGCATTTGGAAAAGAAGCAAATGAAAATATGCCAAAAGGTAAAAAATTCCTCTGTTTTTTTCTCTGATGAATTTTGCTACCATGGGCTATTATTAATCTCGTTGAAATACTTCTTATTCCTCACGAGGCTGACACTGATGAAATATTTTCTTGCTCTTCTTCAAAAATTGAACTGCATCAATATCCCTCAAGGCAGGAGTGCGAATCAAAGCCTTCACCATGTTAATATGGCAACGTAGACCCATGTCCACAAGCTTGTCACAACAGCATCCGGTGATGTTATTCTTGTTGTAGACTAGTTTGTCAAACACTTCTTTCCCACAATGGATGCCAATTTTTTCCACACACTTTGACAAATACCTCTGACTTTCTGGTTGAGTAGCATAATCGCACTTGTGAAAAATCTTGTCGTTTTTGGCCAGAACACGAGTTAGATTTGCATGTTTATACTCTGAATCGCTTTGAAGAACAAATAGGGTGAGTCTGGTGTGGCAAGAATAACCCGTTTGTATAATCTTATAACAACAATCTGCTGAAACCGTTGTCTTTGCATGACTTGGTAGTGAGTCAAGCACTTCATTTCCACAGTAGGATCCAATATGCCTTGCACATTCAAGCAAAGACTCTTCTTTATCAGGAGCAGTGATTTCTGCCATTGTGATACTGATGATCATGGAAAAAGCCACTAATATAAGACAATTGCTGAGTCTTGCCATCATATGAGAAATTTTCTATATTATATAAGTTTACTTGTTTGATGTGAATGTTCAATATGGACTTTGTTTAAATAGTGTGTGATGTAAGTTGAAATATGCTAAATTAATTCCACTTCTGGTGCGAAACATAATGAGCATTAAAGAACACGTTTCAATTGGTAGCAGTTTTGCAACATTGATTTGAATTTATGAACTTTTTAAGTTTCAATTATATCCAGATAAAGGTTTACTTATGAAATATGAATGCGTTTTCTGATTTGTAAGGAGACATTGGCGTAGGTGAATATCAAATTCCAAATTGGTGATTACTTTATGGTTTTGTTCATGAACATATTAAATTGGAAAGTTTCGAGCATATTAAAGGACATAAACTACCACATGTAGAGCAGACTCAAGGATGTGACAAGAAAAACCTTCGGTTTCAATTCTGAAAATAAGTAATTTTATTCACTAACAATATTTTAAACGATTAATAAATAAAAATTAAGTCATAAAATAATATTAATACTTCATTGGGGATAAATAAATACCTTTTTACTAGGGAAATTTTTACTCCTTGATAATTAAAACTTATAATTTCTAACTAAAAAATGGTTAAAATACCCTTTTTCGTATTTTATTTTGTTTTAAAATGTTTTATTAGCATATCAAATAAAATGTTTAATTCGGTGGTTTATCTTAAATTTTGAGTTAATTATTTTTTTTTCATCGTCATTAGTACTTAATATTTTGCAAAAATAGTTTGTGGTAATTACGAGCCACACTTTTGTAATCAAATTTAATAAAGGGAAAGTCTGTAGCCACTACTTTTAATTAAACTTTGAAAGTTAAATAATCAAGTTTAACATTTAGTAAATAAGGGAACCAAAACAAATTGGAATAGTTGTAAACGTTGATTTCAAGGATAAGTTGGAATATAATCAATTCTTTTGTAGAGTTGGTCAGACTCTAAACTATTCACTATCCAAATTTTTGGCACATAAGAAAGCATCAATCTTTTAGTCCAAGGCTTTAATACTTTGTTCGGAAACTGACAAAAAGGAAGAGAATGTAAAAAGGTGTGAGACATTACTTTCGAATCCACTCATATTTGGATGGAAATAAAATGAACCTCGCTTTGTGTAGTACAATCACATAGATGTTTTTTTTATAATAAAAATACAAAATAAAATATTTAGACATAACAAAAACTATAAATTTGCAAAATTGTACATTCCCTCCCATGTATGACAGCTGAGACTAACAGCAGAAAAATGTCATCCAGGTGTCTTCCAATTACAAAGAAGTGGTCTCTGTTGTTTCCACAAAATATGTTTAACCATGACTACTTTCCTTTCCTAGGATGATTGGAGTATCTTCTTATAATCTTGGAACGTGCCATGGAATGGTGTCACTCTTCCTTCGGATACAACCCATAGTTCCTCCACGCTTCCAGAGATAAGGTGTTCATCGTGACTCACCTACCAAAACACAAACGTACGATAAGATTGTTTATAAGCACTCAAATCAAATACTAATACTGATATTAAAAGAATGCGGTGTCAGTGAGAGAACTTAACATACCATGAGAATGCCACCTTGGAACAGCACAAGACCTTGGATGAGCGCCTCAACAGCATCCAAATCCTACACAACATATTACGTTCTCAGTCAATTTTGGATTCATGTTCACTGAATCTTAAGTCACAGTACAAGCTGCACTGTAACTTCTTTGCAAGGTTCAATTTGTTACAGCAAGAGATGATTTCATGGTAGTTAAGTGTTGCACTTGATAATAGAACAAGACATTATAGTTTTTTCTTATGGTCGTGTGTCCATTGAACCATAATGCTATATTCCAAGAAAATCACTTGAAAATTGAAATTTCCAATTTATATCCAATTTGTTTTGCAAACATCTAGTCGAGACAAATAGTCAGTAGTTTAACTGGCCCCAGAAAAGAAGTTAATATATAAAAATGCACAGTAATATGCCTGTTGGTCCAACCTTTTTACTATAGCTTTTACATGACGATGTCATTTTAGGACATGAAGACAGCAGGTACACTGTAAGATTCAATACAGAAAATGTAAAATGTTTCCCACGGGGCAACGAGTCTATCTCCTTAAAATGACAAGGTTAAGTTACAAGCTTAATTGAGATGATCCCCCCCAAAAATATAGGTTCTACAGCTATTTTCTCCTCACTCAAGTTGTTTGCATATCATTTTTAAAGAGAAATTAAGCACCACCATGATGAAAAATAAAATCAAAGACTTCATTAGACACATGTACTTTTCCTGCAACAAAAAACACGGTCAACAAGTTCCAATTGGTCCACTAGCTCATCAACAAGCAATAGACAATGGCTAAGGGACACAGCAGCATACCAGATGATTGGAAGGCTCATCAAGCAATATTATGTGCGGCTTCTTAAAAGTTATCTTTGCAAAGGCAACCCTGCTTTTCTGACCACCTAATAAAAGATTCAAAAAGTCAACAAATAATAATTCACAACAGAAAGGTACATTTATTATATATATATAGCCATTGCAACTCTCAACACCACGAGTGTCCCAATTTATATTATTGCTCCAAAAGATCGTTAATGAATTGTTATGAATAATGATGCCTACATGACCTATGACAGAAGTACCTGACAAAGTATACATTGGCTGCAGCGCGAGATTTCCAGTTACACCAAAAGAACCTAAGTGAGCTCGAAGCTTCTGTTCTGGAACTCCCTGCAGAAATTTTCAAAATAGGAAAAATTTAATAATCTAATTGCACGTACAGGTACTAAACAAGTTTTGAGAAAATCGCCATGTTGCAGACCTAGCACCCAATATAGACCTGAGCATCCTTGCATTCTTCCCTATTGAAGTACAGTTTTCCCAAACAAAAAATAGATCAAGCTCCACGTGTTATTTTTAGGCCACTCTCCTTCTCACTCCTATTGAACCCAAAACTACTAAACAGGCTCTCTCTCATCCTACCTGGTATGAGGCTTTGAAAGCAGAATATGATGCCCTGCTTCACAATGGAACTAAGTCCCTAGTCCCCTTACCATCCATCAGGACTGCCATAGGCTGGAAGTGGATCTTCCACATCAACACTGCTGGCAGTGCCAACATGTACAAAGTCCGGCTGGTTGCTTTAAGAGTTTCACCAGCAACTAGGTTACAGCTATAATAAAACCTGTTCACCAAGATCAAAACAGTAACAGTTCGTCTTATCCTCACTATTGGCCTCTTCAACAGTCTCATGTATACAATTCCTTCCTTTACTCTTGAGGAAGAAGTTACATAACCTCAAGGGTTTGTGGTTCCAGATACCAATAGTGTGCAAATTAAACAAAGCCATCTATGGATAGATTGGATCCAATCCTTTATATTTTTGTAATGGATGAATTTACATGTGAATACATTGGATGGATTATGGATAAATAGATTAATTTGTCACCCCTAATTAGAAGGATGGGAGCATCGATTGTCAAGCACTCAATTTTGTAGGTGATTAGAAGGATGGGAACTCCTATAACCAAGCATTTAATTTAAGATTACCTCCCATAAAAATTCATAGTATAGTTAATTATCACTTAATACAAGGAACTCACAGGATAGCAGCGCATCATATACAGAAGAGGATTTGAAGATAAGTCCAGTCCATCTACATGGTGCTGACTGAACACTGCTATACGAACCTGTAGACAGCGAAGATGTGTAATTAATTATCCAAAATAATATTTAAGATTGAAAAGATATCACTGAGTATAGATAAGCTGCCACTCTGATAATTTCTAGTTCCTGAGCGTCATGTAGTAACTTGTGAAATGCATTACCATATTCAAACATACTTGAAATGGTTTTAAATTTTACAACTGATTTAAAACAGAAACTACTGAAACTTCACTTGTTAGCACTATCATGGATAAAAAATAGCCAATACATGTAAAACAATGATTGCCAAGTCAGTAAGAAGCAGAAACTAAAGTATAAGCATTTAAAGCATATTATGGAGATCAGACAAACAGAAGTAACTTTTATTTATGAAGTTGTAGGGCAATATTATCAATGTACTATAGTTACCTTAGCAGAACGGAAGACAGTCCCTGAACTGGGCTGAAGTTCCCCAGCAATTAACTTAAGTATAGTTGATTTGCCAATACCATTTGGTCCAACCACTGCAAACATTGAGGATATAATCTTCAAGACATGAACAATTTTGCAGAGAAATCATAAAAGTGCATACTATATGATGCTGATACAGATTGAGCCAAAATATCTATAACACTTCAAGGACTCAAAAGTTATGAGAGAAAAATAATTCCTGGAACTAGAATAAGCACTATTCTTACTTGCAATGCGGCTGTCGAGATCAATCCCAAAGTTCAAATTCTTAAAAAGAGTGGGGCCCCCAGGATAACCAAATGATGCATCACTACACATGATAAAAAAATTTCAATTTAGGTCAGAGGCCTAAATGCTGTCTGTGACACACTATATTATGGTATTCATTGATTCGTATAAATTAATATAGTCCACCGGAGAGAGTACAAGAAGGGATACCTGAAACTTATTATCGGTGGACCAGGTCTATCATCTGGAGTGGGGAACTCAAATTTGTAGCTATATCCCACCAGGAAAAAAAAATTAATAAATATATATATATATATAGTTAAAAACTAAAACAAAGTGAAACATAGAAACACGTTTTGGTATGATGATCAATTAAAGAAAGCAGTTCTTACTCAGGATCATTAACAATTTCATCCACATGGCCCATTCTCTCCAGAGCCTGAAATTTTTTTAAGGGAAAAAAGGGTTTATGATGTAGAAATATCAGATTTAATGATTTTGAAAATAATAAAACTAAGCCAGGGAGAAATAACACACACGACTTTTTGTGCATTTGATCTATAAAAAGGTAATCTGACAAAAACAAGTACCTTGATTCTAGATT